TTTGGCCATTTGTCGCCCAAGCTGGCGCAGATTGGCGAGGGACAAAAAGGGTGGCCAACCATGCTGAGGGAAACGTAGATATGGTGAAGCTCACGTCCATCATCATCTCCCCACCATTCAGCAGACGTCGCGCACCAGCCCAAGCGGGTGCAGACACAATGCGTTCTCTGAGTGGGCCCTCTCGCGCTCTTCCAAGGAACCCCCTTCGTCAAACGGAGCGCAACCCCCGCGTCTGCCGCATGTGTGGAACGTTGCAAAGGGAGGAGGAGGAGGAGGAGGAGGAGGAGGAGGAGGGGGAGGGGGAGGAGGAGGGGGAGGAGGAGGAGGAGGAGGAGGAGGAGGAGGAGGAGGAGGAGGAGGAGGAGGAGGAGGAGGAGGAGGAGGAGGAGGAGAGGCGAGGGCCGCCGCGAACAGCGTGGGCCCGCTGGAGGGCGGGCGCGAGGCTGGCCCCGGCCACGGGGTCCCCACGAGAAGGCCAACTTGGCCGTGAGCGAAAAAGCCACGTGTAGGGGGCAAACCTACCTACCTCGCTTTTGACCACCCTCGCTTCCAAGAGATACCAAGCGATGCCAAACTACGGCCTGTGCTGGTCAGGCCGCTTGACGAGGAGGCGTCTGGTATGACATAACACGGAACCGCAGAGGCCTCTGGGCGAGTATTATAAAAATGGGACGCGGGCGCAGGGTCTGGTCTGACCCGTCGCCTGTCCTGCCCCGCCGCCCCGGCCAAAAGCCAGAGGGAGGGGGGGGGGTCCGTCAGCGTGGCAGTGCGGGCCGCCGCAACTCTCATTCGGACCACAGGGCGGACCACGTGGCGAGGCGCCGTGCGCGAGAGGAGAATGCGGTCGGCCTGCCTCGGCTCACTGCCACTCGCGCCCACAACCCTGGAGCCGAATGTGGCCGCGGGCGCCACTCCAGCAGCGTAGATTTTTTACCAATGCGACCCTTCTGCCTGGGCAGGCGTTGTCGATGCCGCTGACACTTGCGATGGCGTTTAAACGTGCGCTCGAAACGGGAACGACGTTTTCATCTCGCATTTTTCGCACACCGCGCCTGCCCAGGAGCCAAATCCGTAGCGGGGCTGACCGTGCTATTCGTGACTCGCCCAGCTATCTTGCCGAGAAGGCTGCCGAGCTTGTGGGCGGCGCCCAACGAGCTGCCGAAAAAGGTGGGTTTGCCAGCCTGCAGACCGACCTTCAAACCGGCACGAAAAATACATAACATGCTAGCACAGGCTCGCACCGCGCGAGGGAGGGCCTCCTGCTCCGTCGCCGCCTCCGTCGTCAACGCATCATCGTCAACGCAGGAGGAAAGAGAGAGAGAGAGAGAGAGAAAAAAAAAAAGAGACGACGGGGTGAGCGCCGGAGAAACGATCGAAGGCCGCCAAACTGTAGACTCTCACAAACAGATCGTTAAATATGTCTCCCGCTGGGAGACCAGATCGCACAATATACGGGGCAGCGCCGCGCACGCTGCCCAGCCTGACAATGCGTTGTCCATCACATTGGTAATGCGTGGTTTTGACAACTGTTTCATTGAAGCCGAGAGCCAACGCACGGTCCAGCAAAACCTCGAGGTCGAAACCGTCGTAGTACTTAGTACCGTCCCAGGTGACTCCGAAGGAAACCTGGCCCTCCTGGGCCGCAACCTCCGCGCGAGCCGCCCGGTGCCAAGCCGCGTCCTCGGGGCTACGGCTGGGCCCGAGGGCCCAACGCTTCCTCGGAGCACGTTCGTTGACAGCCATGAGGCACGGCCCACGGAGACGTGCCCAGACCCCGACGATTCCCGGGCAGAGGAGGATGGGTCGGAGGCCCCCCCCTCCCCCTTGGGTTTCCCAAGCAAGAAGAAGAAGAAGGATCCAGAACAACTGCTTGGGAAACAAGCCCAGCGACTCGATGGCCTGTGCGAGTGCTCCAAACCCGTTGAGACCTTCGTCTGAAGCCAGCGAGGACTGCCGCGGACCGTCCAAGGACTGGGGCGCCAGCTTGGAAAAGCTGGCGCTCTCACTGCGGAGGTCTCCTGCAGTCGGGCGCGGGAGATGACTCTCAGTTGGCGCACAAGCTGTGGGCGGGGAGGTGCTGGCGTGCCAAAATTACGCCACACTCGCGCCCGGCTTCGAGGAGTTCCCTCGGGCTCGCAAGAGAAACTCCAGGGTGGGTCTGCACGACATTGGGGGTCCACTTTTGCTTAAACATCGTAAGTCCATGCATCGCCCGCGCCCCCCCTCAGGTGTTTTCTGCTGGCATTCGTTCCAAGTGTCCTCCCTCCCCTTCTCCATGGCCTTTGCAGCCCCGTCGAGATCGTCCTCCCACGATGAGAGGAGGCCGGCCGCCCCGTCTGGCCGCGCGGCCCAAGTGGCCGTCCAGCGCCTCGCCAGAGCACGCGCCCGCGCAAGCGCGCTGTCAAGTCGCGCGCTGAGGCCTTCGCCAGGGCGCGGCTGCGAGGTGACATTCTGGATTTGATGGAGAGCGCCGTCTAGGAGAAGCTGCCGCTTGGCAGGGGCTCGCTGGGGTCTTGGAAGGCCTCTTGGAGCCTTCAAGGGATCCCGACAGTTTCGCGCAAATTCTGAGCAAGCCACTCCCAGCCACTAGCAGCCTCCTTGCCATCGGCCCCCCGAGGCCTCGAAAAGATGGGGGCCCACCGGGCTCTCAACCTGGGCCCCTTATGCCATTTACTGTGTTCGGAAAATATGCCCAAGCCTGGCTCGCCGCTGCCCGAACACACCCTGCGCCGCGATGGAAACCGGCCTCCGCAGCGTGCTCGGCGACGTTGCGCGCCAAGCTCCAATCCTGAGGGTGGGGCGAGGGTCCCACGGGCAACTCGACGGGAAGACTGGGGTGCGTCCGATACGTTAATTTTCACAAGGACACCGCACCATCGCGAAGCTGCAATCTCGCAGGCCTGCGGGGTCTTCCTGTCCGCTGGAGGTAACGCTCGACTTTCTCAACAAGATGTGCGAGGGCGCTAGAGCACAATGACAAGTCGAGCGTGGACAGCGATGGCGGAGTGACGCACGTGCGCTCCGTCGGTACCTAGAGCAGCGTCGACGCGCCTGGCCAAGCCGACGGACTCCACGAGACTTGGCTCGAGGTCCAATCCCCGCCGGCCACGAACAGAGGCTCATGCTCAACTGCCTGTCCAATCAGCTTCAAACGGTGGAGGTTGGTTTCGAGAGCTCATGCGCCTGACTTGATGTACAAAGAAATAGCCGCGAGGGGGGCCGCGGAGGGATATCGACGACAACCTCGGGCGCCCGCCCAGGTTCCAGAACCCCCGTGCCATCAGAGGGCCACCTGAGCCCCGGACTTGGGGATCCGAACCACACCCACACACACACACATCGCGCTTCTCGGTCGTTTGGTGGATGACACGCGGCTGTTCGTTGATGTCACCCGCAAGGTTCCTCTGCTTGGCCACAACTCTGGCGAGCTTGTGGCCTGTGTTGGCGTGCTGCGTGAAGGCTGGCTTGCAGGGCGCCAGGGCCATTCGCGCCTCCTGTAACTGAACTGCAACGCTGTGTTTGGCCTCGGTCCCGCTGCCTCCAAGCTTCTCGACGGCCTTGATCGCGGCTTCGAAACCCTTGATGCTGTCACGTAGCTGCTTCTCCTTGTCCTCCTCTTTGGCAGTGCTCTGGCTAGAAGACCCAGCAGGATCATCGCTAGGAAAGGAACTCATGATGAGCTTGTCGTACGGATTCTGCAACTCCTCAAGCTGCCGCTGCGGCATGTCTTCACGAGAAGGGCCACCACTAGGGCGACGTCCGGCAGGAGGAGACCGCGTGCCGTTGCCATTCGTGTTCGCCGGGCTCTTCTTGACATGCTGGCGGGCTGCATTGTTGGCCCGAATGGGCGCTGAACGACCGCATCTGGGCTGGATCCTCGACCCCCAGTTGGCGTTGAACCCACGTCCTCCGCACGCCTAGAAGGGCTGCCGCAGCACTGACCCGTCGTCATCCATGGAGTCCCCCGCACAACGACGAGAGAAGACACTTGGGTATCGCGGGGCCCGCCAACAACGCTGGCTCGTAGCAGCTCTGGGCCGCTCTGACGATGCAAGCTGCTGCAAGCCAAAGACGCCGCCTGCGCCAGAACGGCTAAGGGAGGAGCAGGAGAAAAAGGGCAGAAGGCCGTCGCCCGCCGCACGCTGAAAAACTGCACCCGTTCCTCGACGCCCGTGTCTTTCTCACGAGCGCGGCGCGCGTTCGGCCAGCCCCCATGTGTGAAGGGGAGGGAGAGTGAGGAGGAGCAGGAGCAAGAAGCAAGGAAGGAGGGAGAGAGGAGACGAGTGTAATATGCGGGAGGGGGGGTAGGCGGATGAGAGGAAGAGGAAGAAGAGGAGGAGGAAGAAAAGGAGGAGGAGGAGCGACGGTAGCTCTCGGAAGAGTCTCCGGCAGGCGGTGCGCCCCGAGCGCGCGGCAGCAGGATCAGTCGTTGAGCCGGTCCTGGGCAGAGGGCCTGGGTGTAGGAAACTCCGTGGCAGGGCTATATAATGCCAGGCGTGGCGACAGGAAGTGTAATGAGAAATGTCGTCCATGCCCTCAACACACTTCCTCCTGTAGGTAAATTTCGTGGGGCAGACGTGCATGCGAGAGGAAGTATGCCAACCGCCCGCCAGAGTACGAATGATGATCCCACGCCATGCGGGTTTCAACGTCCGCAACTGCTCCTTGAGGTGCAACCAACGGCGTCGCACATCATGGGGGACCTGCTGTGGGCCCAGCCAAGCCGTAATCCGCTTCCGGAGCGTGACCTCGAACCTGTCTGGATACTATGGTTCCTGCAGCGGTCGCACGAATTCTGGAGGAGGAGGGAGATGGCAGCGCTTCAACGAAGCTCCAGTGTCCGCAGGGTGAGTCAGGAGGGGGATCCGGAGAGAGCGGAGCAGGACGCGGGCGGGGAGCAGGAGGGAGCAGCAGGAACGCAGGAGGGGGCGGAGGAGACACGAGGGAGAAGGGAGGAGCAGAGGCAGCAGGGCGAGCGCGAGGGCGCTCGCACGCGCTGCCTGGGCCCCACCGACCCACGGCGCCGACCCCGTGTCGCCGAGGGCCATGGCGGCGGCGCCTGGGATAAGCGCGCCCCCCCCCTGTTTCAGGAAGAGCAAATGCCGATCGACGATCTAAGCACACCAGGAAAATGGACACACGCGCACGCGCACACAGACGCGGACGCAGACGCCGACAAAGACAGCGACGCACAAAGAAATACAGAGACACACAGAGGCACGCTTAGAAACACAGACACAGATATGCAGACGCACAAACACACAAACCCACAAACACACAAACACACACACACACGCACCCGTATCCGCACCGCCCCTACACCCACACCCACAGCCACAGCTACACCCACACTCGAACCCACACCCACACCCACACCCACGTTCACATCCACATGGACATTGACACCAAAACCCACACCCACACCCACAGTCCCACATCCGCACGCACGCAGGCATGCAGCGCAGGCAAGCACGCAGGCACCCACGCGCGCGAGCACGCGCACGCGCACGCGCACGCACACAAACATATACACAAACACGCACACGCGCACATGCACACCCAAACGCACACGCACACGCACACGACCACGCACAAGCACGAACACACGTCTAATCACAAACATAAACACAAGCACAATCACACAGACACACACACACACACACACGCACACTCGCACACACGCACACCCGCTAGCACAAACGTACACAAGCACCCACCCACACACAAACAAACACACCCACCCGCACACACAGACACACAGACGCACAAACACATAGACACACAGACAGACAGGCACAACGACGCACACATACACAGACGCAACCACGCAGAAAGACACAGACACACGAACCGACAGATAGACACACAGACGCGCACACACACTCACGCACTCGCACGCAAGCACGCACACAAACACAAGCAAACACACAAGGACAAACACAAACACACACAGGCACACACAACCACACACAAGCACACATACACACACGCACACCAACACAAACACACACACACACACACAAAAAAACAGGCACAAACACACACACACACACGCACAAACACACACACACACAAGCATAGCCACACAAACACACACGCACACACGCACACACGCACAGCCACACAGACACACCCACACAAATACCAATACACGCACCCAAACATACACATACACACGCACACACGCGCGCAGTGAAATCACGAGGGCGTGGCAAGCTAACGGGATGCGCTAACATTGAAATGCAGACGACCTTTCGACGAATGCGCTCGAATCGACGCCCCACGATCCCAGGTAAGAGGCAGGTGTCAACAAACAGAAGGAGTAACCCAGGCAAGCCTAAAAGAACCCCCCCAGGGTTATCGTTAGCACCGCACCAGGATTTCATATCTTCAGGGGGTCGTTTACGCAGAGCGATATCTTTAGCACCTCGCACGAATCAAAAAACAAAATTCCGTGGCGCGTCGCGCGCCGCGCAAGAGGAAATCCTTGGGAATGCCTTTGGATGCGGGCGCTAGCAGGGCTCAGCAAAGCTTAGCTTGGCCCCGAGAGCTCTCTGCGGGCTCCTCCGGTGCCGAGGTAGCGCTTCCAGGGTGCCCGATGCGTTATACTTTCACCGGATGAGGGGGGTGGGGTGGGGGGGGTTCTTAAAGGCTTGATGCGGTTAGGCTTGAGGCGTGCAGAGGCCTCATGCGCGTAGGCATGAAGGCTGGAACACGCACAAAGAACACACGCAAGTTTCCTCAGGCGTGCTGAAGACGGCAGTCAGCGCGCAACTTGTAGGTGGAGCACGCACGCGCCTAATTTACCACCGTATGTGGCCGATTCGGGAAACCCTGAACCCAAAACGTTGTCATCTCTTGGGGCCGCATCGTTTACCTCCGCCGCCTGCCGCCAGCCTTCCGCCGGCTCCCGCCGGCGGAGGCGGCCTCGTTTTGCTTCCGCCGCCTTCCGCCGCGGAAGAGATGACAATCCCTTCGATCCTCGAAGGTAAGGCACTTTCTGGAACGCCCCACGTGGTAACGCGGCAAAGACGCACACCGATCAAACTGGAACACGCACCACGTGAGTGGACTCAGGCGTGGACATTCCGGAGGCCACGCGCTGGATGAGCCAGGCGCAGGGAAACCATCTGGCCACACGTGGGCGATTTTGGAAAGCCTGAGCCCCAAAGACGTTTCCACCTCTTGGGAAGCGTGTTTTTTACTTCCGCCGCCCTTCCGCCGGCTTCCGCTGGGGGAGGCGGCCTCGTTTGACTTCTGCCGACCTTCCGCCGCCTTCCGCCGAGGAAGAGGTGACAACTCCTTCGATCCTCAGAGGCAAGGCCCTTGTTGGAACGCCTCACGTGAATTCAGCTCACGCCCAGACCGGTTGCATCATGTGTATCCGGCCCCGGGGAAGGTGTCGAGAGGCTCGGGAAATATACCCGGGGAAGGGGTCGAGAGGTTCTGGGGCCCACGCATCATGAACAAATCGAAATGCCGGAAAGTCTGGGATCTGCCCTCCTCTCAGATCAAGGATCGAGGTATGAGGGCCCTGGATCGAGGATAGTTGATCGAAGGATTGCCAGGTCGAGGTTCGAGGATCGTGGTTCAAGGCTCGGGGATCGCATCTTTGAGCCTCCAGGGCCTCCGCGGGCAGTTCCCCCTCCTCCTCTCCCTACTCTCCTTCCTCCCTCCTGGGCCTCCTGGGGGAGGAGGGCAGGTTGGGGGGAGGAGGGGGAGAGGGGGGGCCCCCTTCAGCTTCCTCCTTCTCCTACTCTGCCTCCACTTCCTCCTCCTCCTCCTCCTTCCTCCTCCCTCCTCTTTCCTCTTTCCCTCCCTCCTTCCTCATCGCTCCTCCTCCTCCTCCTGCTCCGGGCCTCGGGCTGCACCCGAGGTGTCACGCCGGCCGCCGATCGCGGGACAAGTGACAAGTGGCGCGCTGGGGCGCCCCGCCCTGCTTGCCGGCTCCCTTGCCTCTGGTGGCGTCCTGGCGATCATCTCTTTACGGTCACGCCGAGAGCCCCGCGAGGGAGGAGGGAGGGGAGGAAGGGGGGGGGGGGGGCAGACGTCCCAGAGAGGAAGGGGGAGGAAGGAGGGAGGAAGGAGGGGGAGGAGGACGGAGGGGAGGAAGGAGGGGAGGAAAGGGGGGGGGCAGACGCCCCAGAGATCCGATGTGCTGCGTTCCCGATGCGTGCCCCCCGGAAGTCCCGACCCCTGCCCCAAGGCTGGCCTCGCATCCCGAGCCGTTCTGCCGACGGCCCCGGGGGCCCGGCGAGGGCCCCCCCCGAGGCCGCGAGCAGTCCAAAGCCTCCGCAGCTGCCTCGTCAGCGCGCCGGAGCACAGCGCATCGGGAGCACAGAAGCTCTCGGAGGCCCGGGCGGCCCCGCTTCCGCGGCGCGCGGAGCCGCCAGATGCGGCGTCGGATGTGCCGCGAGGAGGCTCCATAGCGCCAGGCCATGGCATCTGCGCGGGCCGCCGAACGTTTCATATCTTGTTGGCTTTTGCAGGGTGGTTGCCAAGATTCCCATGTTTTTTTTCCCATGCTTGTTTTTGTCCTTGCATGTTGTTTGTTAACCCTTAACGGACGATAATAAACCTCCGCGGATAATAAAGCTCGCGGTTCCCGCGGGGACAATAAAGGATTTTCCCGGGGAAGGTAAGTTATGATGATGATGACGACGATGGAGGAGGAGAAGGAGGAGGAGGAGGAGGTAAAACCAGGCGCACGACAGAAGCCTGACTCGAGCGATCTCTTGTCTCGTGGCTACTTGCCCGCAGAGGCGCACTACACAGAGATTACTCGAGAGATCTCGAGGCTCGTGGCTACTTGCCCGCAGAGGCGCAGGACACAAGGCTGACTGGAGGGATCTCCAGGTGATGGTCAAGTTCGGCCCCCGCGCCTTCCCCACAGATAGATCCCTGTGGTCAGGGATTCAAATATTAAAGGGGGGAAGGGGGGGGCACCTTTATTATCGCCCGTTAGCGGTTATTCATTGTTTCACTGTGTGTTCCCATGATTGGGCAGTGGAGGGGGGCAGGGTGGGAAGGGAGGGGGGAATGGGTGGGTTCAAACTGAACCCATCCTCAGGGCGGAACGCGGTTTGCTCAACTGTTGAGCAGCCCGTGTTCTGCACTCTTGCCACTGGAAGGGTGCCAATGTATCCTTGCGGCGAAGCTCGTCGCAAACCTATCCCAGGGAAAGTCTCTCTGCAGCACAGCAACCACACATGCATCGGCCACAATGAGAGCAACTCCTGCGACGGGGAAGCCCTTACGCACACGCTCGACGTGAGACGTGAGACGAAGGACACACTACGGACGTCGACCGACCGCGGAAGTGACGACATCTGAGACAGAACGGCGCGCATCCAAGGCGGCAACACGTGCTCAGATAACGCGACTGCTGGCTCGTCGGACGTTTGGTACGGGCCGATCGAAGGGGTGCGGGAACACTATGCACGACGCCCACCAGAGCAAACATCATCACACACCGAGAGCGGCCGCCCTTGGGCAGGTGCCTTGTTGCCTCGTCCGCGGCCACGTCGACACTGAGGCAGGCATGCAGTCCGATCGAGCCAATGCTCGGCCCACGAGTCGGGCGCGACTGTGGCAGACCTCGAGCGCCACTGCTGGTGCTCGAGTAAGGAACGCACGACGTCGTCTTCGTGCTGAAGAAAATCATTGTGCAATGACGCCTCTGGCCAGTCTGATCTACATTACACCAGAGAAAAACCCCAATCAATGGATGGTTTTCGCTGAAAAGATCGACCGGGAACCTGGGAGCCCGGGAACCCAAAACCCACCGAAATCGGCCCGGAACCAATAACCGGGAACCCGGGAACCCGGAACCGGGAACCCGGGAACCCAGCCTGCTACCAAGATCGGCGGGAAACTTTCGCCAAATCTTTCAACCTCTGCTAGGACCCCTTCAGTGCAAGCACTGATTGGGGAATAGAAATCCCACGAACATCTGCGCAAATAATCGTCCCATCTCGTTGCGGGTCGTCCCCGCGCCCAGTGGTGCAGGCAGGGCGCGGGGCGGAACCTCTCTCTCAGAAGGCTCAGAAGGCCCCTGGCCCTGCGAGAAGCTTCCCGGGCCTTGTGTGAAGCCACAGGTGGCCTCTCGGGTGGTCCGGGGCCTTCTCCAGAAAGACAACTCTCGGGCTGGGAGGACGGGGTTGGGAAGATACGGGGCACGACTGTACACTGGGCATACGAGAGAATACGGATGGTCTGGTCATCTCTCCCAACCCCATCCTCTCAATCTCAATCCGAAATGTGTAGTTCTTGACTTCTGGGAGGCCCCGCGGCCTTCCGAAAAGACCTGCCCTGACGCCCCGTGGTTCTCCTGTTAAGGGGATGGGTGTGGGGGGCGAAGAGAGCGGACAGTAGAGGGACAAACAACTACATAAACATAAACTTTTGGCGCTCCGTGCGGATTTCTTGGATCTGCGGTGGAGCCCCCTGGCGCGCGGAGCGTGCCAGGGGCGGCGACAGAGGCGCCGCCGGGGGGGCCCCAGCGCAGATCCAAGAAACCCGCGCGGAGCGCCAAAAGTAGTTCATGTTTATTTGAAGGATGACAAACGACCCTACCCTTGGTTACAAATGCGAGGTCTGTAAACCTCCTGGGAACCTCCAAAGCCTAGAGAGCCGCCAGGACGCCGCACATCACGCAGGGTTTCCCCTGTCAGCCCACTAGAGTTTCAGCGCACAGCGCCTCGTCAACCAGGGTAGGGGCGTTTTTTATGCCTTTGATTAATGTTTTTTCGGCGGCGACGATAGGGGCGAATAGCCCAGGGGCGGGCATCACACGTATTCGCCCGGGAGCCTTTTCGAAGACATAGATCATCGGCGCACCTGAGTACATGTATTGCTCTCCCCTGGGCTATTCGCCCCCATCGTCGCCTCTAATATTTTTTTCGTCTTCGAGGCGGGGGGGCCGTGGCAGAGTGCAGGGCGCATCGGAGGGGGGGAGGCGCCGCAGAGCCCGCCAGCCCTCCCCTGAGTTTGCGCCTGCTCGTCGGCCCCCCACGGGGCCTCCTCGTCGCCACGGCTGGGCCCGCCTCGGCAGGCGCGCCGGGTCGGGCCAGGGGAAAGAGCCCCCGGGGACCGAGTTCGAGCGGCGGTGGGCGGGGGGGTCACGGCAAGCCTCGGCCACAGGGAGGCCCCTCCTCACCCTGAGACGTGTCCTTCTGTTTCGGCGCCTCGGCTGCAATACTCCTTTGCTGCGTGCTTGTTTCGGGAGATGGGGGAGCAACGAAAAAACCTCTGCGATCTCGCGCGGTCGCTCTGGAGGATCGGGTCGGGCGAAAGGGGGGGATAGCAAAGGGGGGGTTTGAGAATCAGCTCACGTAGCTGATTTTCCCGGCGCCTCCCGGCGCCGGAGGCGGCTATGTATCGAGGAATGGGCCCCTCGGTGAGGCCGAAAACAACTGCATGCAGCAAATTTCGTAACCCCCCCTTTCCCACCCCCCCCCCCTTTCGCCCGGCTCGAGAGGAGCCCGGCTCTCAGGGACAATCGGATCAGGAAACGCGCCATGAACCTAAACTTGAGGCGCTCCGTGCGCATTTCGTGGATCTGCGCCGGACCCCCCTCCCTGGCGCCCGGAGTTCGCCAGGGGCGGCGCCGGAGGCGCCGAGGAGGAGGAGGAGGAGGAGGAGGAGGAGGAGGAGGAGGAGGAGGAGGAGGAGGGTAGGAGAGGAGGAGAGAGGAGGAGGAGGAGGAGGAGGAGGGAGGAGGAGGAGGGTACGGAGGAGGAGGAGGAGGAGGGGGGGGGCCCAGCGCAGATCCAAGAAATCCGCGCGGAGCGCCAAACGTTTATGCTCACACCGTTTTCTCTTCTTCGATTCCAGGGGCGACCTGCTGGGACGGCAACCCCAGGCGGCGGCGCGCACGCGGGGGTGGCGCGAGGGGGGTGGGCCTCCTGCGAGGGGCCGGGCGCCTGCCAGGAAGGCTCGTCAGACGCCCGGCGGCATGCCGAGAAGCCCCCTTCTGCTCTCTCTAGACAAGCGCGCTCCCCTGCTCGCAGAGTAACTACTCGCAAATGGTCTGGATCTGCCGCGGGGGATTCACGATACACGACATCCGAGCAGACACGAGCCTTCTGTCGTCGGACGCTTGCGAGTAGCCACTTTGCGAGTCGTGGGACGCCCTCGGTGACTCTCAGAAGCCCCCCGCCTTCTTCGGAGGTCGGCCCTTGAAGCGGCCGGCACTGTCGCAGAGGCCGGCGGGTTCCTCATCGCAGGCGGCAGCTCGATGTCGCGCGGACCGAATCGTGGAGAGCCACAGTCTCCAGTCGCTCTCCCCTGGAGGTGCGCGTCGGCCCTCGCCGATCATCGCCCTCGCTGGACCTCTGCCCGATCGATGCACCGCCGCGTCCCTCTGCCCAGGCGGTGAGGTCTGCATCAGAAGAAGTCGGTGAGGGTAGCAGAACGAGAGCTCTTTAGTAAGATGAGAAGGAGGAGAAGCAGGATAATTTCGAGGAGGGGGAGGAGGAGAAGCAGGAGGAGGAGGAGGAGGAGGCGGAGAAGCAGGAGGAGGAGGAGGAGGAGGAGGAGGAGGAGGAGGAGGAGGAGGAGGTGGAGAAGCAGGAGGAGGAGAAGGGGGAGGACCAGGAGGAGGAGGAGGAGGAGGAGGTGGAGGAGGGGGGGGATGGGCAAGCACCGTCGGAAGGTTCGTCGCCCACCCCTCGATTAATATCCCATCCAGAGAATACGAGCTGTTCTTCTTCGATCCTCCTCCTCCTCCTCCTCCTCCTCCTTCCTTACGCCGTGCCGCGGCACAGGCACCCGAGGGCTCCCTCCTGAGCTCTCGCGGTGTCGGAGCCCACTCGGCCGCCAAGCGGGCCCAGGGTCTCGAGCCTGCCAGGCGGCCAGATGGGCCAGACTCCCACCACCCGATTGGAGCTGAGCCCCTTCGGCTACTCTGGATGGGGCAGTAATGGCCCCCACCTTGGACCCGCTGGGGGGGGTGCGCACGTGCTGTCGAAACGGGTGGAGGGGGGGCTGTCGGTGGAGGAGGAGGAGGAGGAGGAGGAGGAGGAGGAGGAGGAGGAGGAGGAGGAGGAGGAGGAGGAGGGGGGGAGGAGGGGAGGAGGAGGAGGAGAGGAGGAGGAGGAGGAGGAGGAGGAGGAGAAGGAGGAGGAGGAGGAGGAGCAGGAGGGGGGGGGGAATGGGCAAGCTCCGTCGGAAGGTTAGGCGCCCACCCCTCGATTGATTTTCCACCCAGAGTGCCCCCTTGCGGCCGCCGAGCCCCGATACCCTGGCGTCGCAAATCTTTCCTCACTGGGCGCTTCTGCCTGGTTCGAAGCACGGGGCCTGGAGCTCTGGTCGTGGGTTCCCGCGATGCTGCATTTTTGTTCGATGGGCTCGGGCGCCGTATGTAGGCAGCCGCATTTGAACCCTACCCATGCGGGTAAGAGTTCTGAAACTGGGGCTCACAAGAGATTGACGGATGCCTTACAGCCAGGGAAACCCCAGCAGGGGTGTCCGATGCCCCAGCGTCGGTTGGACCGGTAGTGGTAGGGCTTGCATGTGGGCGCACGGCTCTCGCATCTGCCGAAGAGGATTGCTTCCTGTCGGGGGTCTACTGACCCGGGTCCATCCAGTCCTGGGTCATATCAAGGGGTGTGGGATCCTGCAAGATGCTGATCCTGCGCCCAATCCCGGGTCAATTCAACCCTAGCTCCGCAGAATCCTGCAAGATCCGGCGCTCTGGCTGACCCCCATTTGCATCAGGTCGGGCATGTCCTCCTACAGGCGCATTGTAGAAGAAAATGGAGAAGAGTCAGACAATGCTCAGAAATAGTCGAAGAATAATAGAAAAATCGTCATCCGGCTATTTCCTGACCATGCTCGAAAAGTCCTCCTGCAGAGGGACATGCCGGACTTAACCTTTGCATTGGCCCCCGCACCTTGAGCCCCGCTCTTGTCTTCTGGGCGCGGCCCCAGATAAAACGACGCGAAGATCGGGACAACATCGGATCGGGATAACTCGAAATCTCTGAGAATCGGCGGGTTTGGAGGGTGTATTGGGCGCCGCGGCCGCTCCAGAGCGTTCCGGAACGCTCTGAGAGCGCTCCGGAACGCTCTGGAGCGACTTATCCCGATCCTAGCCCTGTTTTACCAGAGGTCGGACGGCCCGACGCCTTCCCTGCCCTGGATCCATACCCGATGGCCCCGGGGCCCGGTCACGGGCCGCACAGGCCCGGGATCGAGGAGAGACGCCGGGATTGGAAACAGCCTGTCGCCACATGGGCGATGCTTCGCAGACCCTGGGCCCAAACACGCGCTTATGTCTTGGGAGGCGTTGCTTTACCTCCGCCGCCGTACGCCGCCCTTCCGCTGCCTTCCGTTGTTTCACTTCCGCCTCCTTACGCCGCCCTTCCGCTGCCTTCCGCCGAGGAAGAGATGACAACCCCCTCGATCCTCGAAGGCCAGGCCCTTTTTCTTGGAACGCCCCAAGATGGATCCGGGTGTGGGTTAGGGTTCGCGAGGAGCCGCAGGAGAGGGGCTTGGCAGCGAGCCGCGGGGGGTGCTGCTGCTCCGACTGCGGGCAGGCAGTCCTTGCCGGCGCCGTAGGGGCCCATAGAGCCAGCCTTGCCTCGCGCGCGCGCGCGCGTCGCGCGCAGCGGAGGGAGCATGGATCGAGCGATTTGACACATTGAGATCCTCTTAGGCGGTGGATATTTGATCCCTGCCCCTGCTCACGCTCCGACCCCGCGAGGGGCCACAGCGGCGGCATGGGCAAACTCGTGGCCCACATGGCCGCGTGCTTTGTGTCCATGCCCTGCCCCCCCTGGCGCTCGGAGCGGGGGTCAGCAGCAGCGGTATGGATCGAGCGTCGATCGTCGATCGCCCGGCGGCGCGCCCAGTGCGGGTGGGACGAGGGGGGCGGCCCTCCGAGAAGGCGGGTGGGCCTATCCTCAGAAGAGCCCGGAGGCGTCCGAGAAGGCCTCCGACAGGTCCGGAGGGCTTCTGGGAAGGCCCTGCCATCGCAGAACACCCTCGCCTTCTCAAAGGCCGCCCCCCCCCCCCCCCCTCGCGCCAGGCACTTGTGGTGGGCCTGCTTCCCACTACCACCGATACAGAGCAAGAGCGGCTGGCCCATGGTGGTGCCTTGCCATCCTTCTGCTTTGCGACGAATTGGACGCCCGAACGTGTACGTACAAAAATCGGTCGCTGTTGGACACGTGGCCCCGCAAGGCCGAAAAAAAAGGAACAGAACTGGACCGCCCGCCGTGATGTTGTCAAGACTCGATGGGGTCTGTACAGGCCTCCTAGATGGGGTCCGCGTAGATGGGGTCGGAGGATCTTGCCGCATCGCCGATACATCGGCGATGCATCGGCCATGCACTGGTGACGTCGGCGAGACGTCGGCGTGGAGAAAATTGGGCCCCGCGTGTACTCCGACCCCATCCAGGAGGCCTAGAACCCTCCACGGGTCCATCGGTCTTGGCCCGAGGAGGAGGGGGAGGAGGAGACGGAGGAGGAGGAGGACGCGGAGGAGGAGGAGGCGGAGGAGGAGGAGGGGGAGGAGGAAGAGGAGGGCCTAGAGCCTGGAGGAGGGCAGCGCCACCGGCATCTCTTCCTCTGCCGACGGACGCCGCCCCCGCAGGCGAGACGAGGCGTGGCGCAGCGCGCGTGGCTGGGGGCCCCGCAGCGCGGGTCGAGGGTCGAGGGTCGAGGGCCGAGGCTCGAGGCTCGAGGCTCGAGGCTCGAGGCTCGAGAATCGAGGCTCCAGGATCGAGGGTCGAGGATCTAGGGTCGAGGATCGAGGGTCGAGGGTCGAGGCTCGAGGATCAAAAGTCGAGGGTCGAGGCTCGAGGATCAAAGGTCGAGGGTCGAGGGGCTCGAGGATCCAGGATCGAGCCTCTTCGAGGCGAGGCGGGGCGCGCCGGGGCGGGGCGCCTCCCGCCCGTTGCGCGCCCTTGGCCGCCGCGGCGCCACCTGCCGAGGGGGGGGCCCGCGCGGCGCGAGGCGCGGCGCATTCTTTGCGCACGGGCAACGAGCGCGCGCTGCCCCCGCCCTCCTCTCGATGATCGTCAGAACGTGTGTTACAGTCGGACCTACAGTCGGCCCGTATCATAAGGACGCGCGGTAAGGATGCCACGGCCTCGGGAGGCCATTCCGCAGTTTTTCGAGCGGGGCGCGGCCAGCGAAAGTGGACAAGGATGGACCGACGAGGTAAGGATGGAAGGGATATCCTTAGGAACGTTGCCCATCCTTACTATGCGGGTTGGCTCTAGTCATGAAGAACATCCCTCAAGAACATGAGACCCTCCGTCGGCCAAAACATGCAGAACATCCAAGGGTTCCGTCCCCAGGGTGCGCAAGAACATCCCACAAGCACGAAGAACAGTGGGGTACCCTCTGGGGTACGACCTCGGACCGACTGTAGCGCCAACGTGTGCTTGTCCACCGAGGCCCTTCAGGACGACGCAGGCGGCGCAACGGGGGCCGACGCAGGCTGCGCGCTACCTCCAGAGCAAAGCGGGGTCAACACACCCTTGGGCTAACACATGTCCTGTGGATCCTCCTCCTCCCCGTGTAGCCCCCGTGCTCTGTCTGCTCTCGCTGCTGCTCCTTCCCCTTCCCCCCCCTTCCCCCCTGGGCTTCCCTGGCCGCTGCTGTGCTGCTCCCCCACCTCCTCCTGCAGCTCCTGCCCCATTGCTCTCTTCCTCCTTTCCCCTTCCTGTTGCGCGCTCTGTGCTACAGCCCGAAGCCGGTCGAAGACTGGCAAACGTGAAATCTTTGTGTGTATATATATGATTAAAGATATTGAGCTTCAGGTTCGGGAAAAGCAAGACGCAAAGGATCGGAGGCAAGGTGACCAAGCGCCCTCCACGCGATCCCTGTTTCCCTCCCTCCTCCTCTTTTCATTCCGTGCGGCGGGCTTTAGCAACTAGGCTGTAGCGTTCTGATGGCAAGAAGAAACATCAAAACCGCTTGAATGCAGACTAAGCAGCGCACGAAGTGCGAAGCTGCAGCATGTTCAACTCCGCAGTGTGCGCATGCAGAGGTGAGATGGCCTGTGCAACGAGGCCCTGATCCTCCACCGCCAACACCATCGCAATCATCTTCCTCTCCTCAAGGGCCCACCCACATCGTGACAATGCTGTCGCCTGCGGTGGCTTGTTAGTGCAGGGGCAGAGAAGGCACTGCGAAACCAAGCTGGACTGAAGGGAGAGACGGAAGTTCAGGCGAGGGAGAAGATAGGAGGGAAGGGTCGGTTGGACATCGTGTCTAGAAGGATGTCCTGCGATTCGTTCAGTCTGGTGGTGCAGCAAACTATCGACTTGTCTATTCGCGCAAGCTGCGAGCCGCTGAATGTAAACTGTCTGTCTCCATGTATACATTGCGTATATGTACTCCACTTTCAACATCGAACTACTCACACAACTGAACTTATGCGTGGCAACCTTCGCTTCGCAATGAACTCCAGCTGTCTACGTTCATCCTTGGATCTTGGATAGAACCAACGGCTTTGTGGTACCAAACATGCCAGCTGTGAACAATATCGTCTTCTTCATCGCACATTCTGCGGCGCGCGTCGAGCAAATAGTGGTACGCCGGCCGTGGGGACGATAATAACTGCGCAACGCCTCGAATCTGTTGCACCAAAATAATTTGTTGACATCAATGTCGTCCTGTGATATTGCGCACCCGGGCTTTGAGTTTCAACCTGGTTTTGGGTTTCCATGGATGTCGTGGACAGCGCCTCGCGACCTCCACCTTCTCTTGCAGCTGCTGCAACTGATGACGGGGTTTGGTTCAATAAAAAACGTAACGCGCGTTGGTATGCGCTGCAACGTGTCGGCAGGCTGGCCCACTTCTGAATTAACACCGATTGGCCTCGGAAGCAAGAGTTAACACGGGTGAGCCTCGGAAACACAGTCTCAAGAATTCCTACTCCAGAGTGAAAATGAATATTCGTGTCGGATGGTCTGGCAATCAGAGATTCCACTACCGCGCCGATGTCTTGTGGCAATCTGGGGGAATACGGCAGTGGCGGAGGAAGTATTGCTGCCGAGATGATCATGGGAAGGCTGGACATTAAAGGCGGTAGTACAAGCCCAGAACCGTACTCATGATGCCCACGTTTCACGTGTGAGCTGAGCTGTCCACAACCGAGCATCTGTATCAAACCCATTTCTGATTGTTGCGGCACGCGCTGGTTATGCCAACAATTCGATTTGAAATTGCACGGTCCGCTGTCGCAATAATGATCCATATTACTTTCAGACTGCCAGGAAACGCCCTGATGATGCCCCTTGTGTTCAGCTTGTGCATTGAGCTGCGCGCCGCCCTGAAACTGCGCCCCCCCCTCCCCCCTGTGAGTGTCCGATCGATGCGATCAAAACCTGTATAGCTCGGTGAGGCCGAGCCAGCAGGATGCAGTCGGCCGAAGAGGCCGAAAAGGAGGCGGCCGTACTCAAACATGCAAATGCAAACCGCATGCGCGTGCCGAAGAGCAAATGCCAATAAACATGCGGAGGTCCGCGCGGATCTCTTGGACTGGCGCTGGACACTGTGGCGCCGTGTTCTCCGCTCCTGAGTCGGAGTCCAGGGCAAGGTCAATGTGAGCGTTGAGTGTCCGCAGCGGCTATTTTTGACAGAACGGTATGAAATAAGCTTTTCAGCCGCCCAGGGGCAGGCGTCCCCGACGGCGGATAAGTATATGTTATACCGGTATTCGCCCGCTGATACTTGGCCGAAATTTCACGCGACTTTGATGATAGTGATGATGCTGTCGAGGAGGCCGAGGAGGAGGAGGCGGCAGAGGAGGAGGAGGAAGAGGGAGGGGAAGGAGGCAGGAGAAGGACGAGGAGGGGGGAGGAGGACGAGAACGAAAACACCTCAGAACCCTCCAGCGGCGTCGGGAACCTCAGACAACTTCCCCATCCCATGAGCATATCATTCTCCCTCCTTCGTCTCCTGCTCCTTCCCCGCCTCCTCCTCCTCCTCCTCCTCCTCTCCTCCTCCCCCTCCTCCTCCTCCTCTCCTCCTCCTCCTCCTCCCTCCCCTCCCCCTCCCCTCCCCTTCCTCCTCCTCCTCCTCCTCCTCCTCCTCCTCCTCCTCCTCCCCCTCCTCCTCCTCCTCGCCCCTCCCCTGTACTTCCAGTTCCCCCCTTGACCAGATCGTCCCCCAGACCTCTCGTGGGGTGCGCTCGGGCCAAGCTTGGCCCCAGGGCGGGGGAACCCCGCCGTGGCGACGAGACGCCTCCCGGAGGCCCAACAGGAGCCGAAAGCGCCCCCCCCCCCCAAATCCGTCGAGCCTCTAAAACCCCCCTTCGTGGCGATCTGCACTGCAGCCTTCCCCCTCGACGCCGATTCCCGACGACCTACCAGGCCACCCCAACCTGACCCGAAGACCCGAATTTCGGGTTGCGGAGGGGGTACGGGTTCCACACGTGTTTTCTCCAGTGTTCCCCGACCCCCCCCCCATTAGGAATTTGGGGCAAAGCGGGGCCTTCAGGTTGGGTCGGGTTGGTGTGGTTTGGTGGGCGGTGAGATCCGCCCTTGGGCCGCCCGGTTGCGCTCCTGCCGCCGGCCCCCGCCCCGGCCCCCCGCCACCGCTCATGGGGCCGTAGCTGCTGGCTGCCCCCTTCCCGGAGGCAGCCTGGCGGGCGAGCCGCGAGGGAGGAGGGGGGGGGGAGGGGGGGGGGGAATGAAGAGGCCTCCTCCTCCACCTCCTCGTCATCCACCCTCCTTCCCTCCCCTCCCCTCCCCTCCCTCCCCTCTCCTCCCCCCTCCTCCTCCCTCCTCCTCCTCCCCTCCTCCTCCACCTCCTCCTCCCCCCCTCCTCCTCATCCTCTTGCTCCTCCTGCTCCTGCTCCTCGTCCTCCTGCTCCTACTCCTCCTCCTCCTCCTCCTCCTCCTCCTCCGCTACATCCTCCTCCTCTTCCTCCTCTTCCTCCCTGCTCCTTCCCCTCCACCTTGTACTCCTCCTCTCTCTCTTTCTCCTCTCCTCTTCTCTTCTCTCTTCTCTTCTTCTCTCCTTTCCTCTCCTCTCCTCTCTCTTCCCTTTTCCCATTTCCCTCCGCCCTCCTTCCTCCCTCCCTTCTTATTGATCCTCCTTCCTGTCCTCCTTCGCCTCCGCCTCTTCCTGCTCCCTGTCATCTTTCCTCCACCTCCCTCCTCCCAGCGAGCGCGGGAGTGCGCCCGAACAGAGACAGGGCTAGAGACAGACAATGAGAACAAAAGGGGGAGAGAGGGAGAGAGGGAGGGGGAGAAACCAACCTCCTGGTGGCCACACCCCGGGTTCTGCGTACTTGGACCTCGGGCCCATACGCCTGGCCCCGGTGGACACCATACCTGAAACGAGTGGTGTGCCAGCACCGCGCAGACATAGAGGAAGACAGAGAGAGAGAGAGAGAGAGAGATAGAGGAAGGGAGAGAGGAAAGGAGAGATAGGAAATAAGAAAGAGAGAGAGAGAGAGATAGAGTGACACACACACACACACGCACGCGCACGCGCACACAAACGCAAACACGCACACACACGCGCACATACACTACCACACACTGTCACGCACAATCACAAACACTACACATACACACTTCGAGCATCAGCGGATGGGCGTTGCGCCACACCGCCAGACATACACACACAAACACACACACACACGCAAGCACACGCAGACCTACGCACCCGCGCATGCACCCCCCACACACACCGTTTCATACTCACGCACACACACACGAACGCGAACACACTCACACACACACACGCACACACGCACGCACGCACGCACACACACACACACCACACACACACACAAACACCACGCGCGCGCACGCGCACGCGCACGCGCACACGCACGCGCGCACGCACACCCGCACGCACACACCCACGCACCCCGCACACGAAGACGATCACGCACACGCACACGCACACGAATGCTCACGTCCACAAGCACACGTATACGCACCCGCACCCGCTCCCGCACCAGCACCCGCATCCGCACCCGCCCACGCCCACGCCCACGCCCACATCCACGCACCCGCACACGGTCACGCGCACGCACACGCGCACGCAAACGCACACGCACAAGCCCGCACCCGCACCCGCACTCCCACCCGCACACGCACACCTACTCGCCCACGCATGCGCACACGCACCCCAACCCCCCCAGACACACACGCACACATGCGCACGCGCACGCGCATGTGCACACGCACGCGCACTCGCACTCGCACGCCCACGCCCACACCCACGCACACTCACACGCACACGCGCATACACACGCACACGCACAAGCACACGCACACGCACACGCGCACGCACACTTACACTCACACGCCCACGCCCACGCCCACGCCCACGCCCATGCACACGCACACGCACACGCACACCCGCATCACCACCCACACCCACACCCACATCTACACCCATATCTAAACGCACACACCCACACCCACACCCACCCACACCCGCACCGCCACACCCACACACCCACACGCCCACGCACCCACACACCAACGCCCCCCCCCCCCATACACACACACACACACACGCACACACGCACACGCACAACCACACAAACACACACAGACAAACACACACAAACAAAAACACACACACACGCATACACACACACGCACACACACACGCACACACCAACACACACACACGCACACGCACACCAACGCACCCCATCTCCCAACACCCAGACCAAAACAAACACCCACACACACGCACCCACCCACCCGCCCACATACACACACACTCACACACGCACACCAACCCACTCACACATCCACGAACACACACACACATACACTCCCACACCCACCCACACACAAACAAACACCGACACGCACACACACTATCAAACCCACACACCCACACACCCACACACACACACCCACACAACCACACACCGACACACACATATAATCATATATATATACACAATCAAACACACACACACGACGACACGCAAACACACGAACACACGCACAGACCCACCCACCCACCCACACCCACACACACCCACACACCCATACATGCCATTCAAACACACACACACACACACACGCACGCACGCACGCATTCACGCACGCACGCACGCACACGCACGCGCACACACGCACATCGACACACCCGCAGACCCACACACACACACACAAACACACACACACACGCACACACACACACGCACACACACGCACACACGAACACACGCACACACGCACACACGAACACACGCACACACACACACACACACACACACGCACACACGCACACACGCACACACGCACACACACACACACTCATTCACACCCACACACACCCACACACACCCACACACACACGCACTCACGCACACACGCACGCACGCATATACACATACACACACGCACACACACATACACACACGAACACCCACACACACGACTTCACACACACACACACACACACGCACCCATGCACCCACACACAAACGCATCTACAAACAATCACTCACAGAGTGAGAGAGAACAAGACAGATAACGGCTTAGACGTATGGAGCGAGCAGACAAAGAGAGAGCGAGAGAGAGAGAGAGAAAGAGATAGAGAGAGAGAGAGACAGAGTGGGAGAGAGGCAGAGAGAGATGGATAACAACAGTAACCAGAGAGGGAGGGAACGAGGGAGAAGGAGAGGGAGAGGGAGAACGCGGGGAGGAAGAGATGGGAGAGGGAGATCGTGGGCGAGAGCAAGACCGCACAGAGGGCCCCCCAAACGGCCAGAGACGCCCCCAAGGCAGCCCATAAGACCCCCACGACGGCCCTAAGAGGGGTCCAAGAGACGGACCTTGAAGGGGCCCAGCGAGCCCTGCCCCCCAAGATGCACCTGAAGACTTCCAACATGCCCTCAAGAGGTCGACATAATATTTCAAGAGAGCTGGAACAGGCCCCCAGTAGCCCTCGAACGACTTCCAAGAGGCCCTCCAAAGACCTGCAAGAAGACCCCAAGAAGCCCCTGAGCAGACGACAGGTAGCTTTCGACCCCCCCGTCGCGAGTTCCCCAATCTGGGGGTCTCCCTTCTGAGCTACTCCCCCGCTGACGTTGCTCCTGAGGAGAGGAGGAAGAAGAGGAGGAGGCGGCGGAGGAAGAGGTTTGGGAGTCCATTCCCCCCCTCCTCCCGCCTTCCTCCTTCGTGCTTGCTGCTGCTCCCGCCTCCTCCTCCCCTCCTCCCTCCTTGTCCTCCTGTTGCTCTCCCTCGTGTCATCCCGGTCTGGTCGGTCTTCCTCTGGGGCCCCCCCCATGGGTGTCTGGCGGCCGCAAGCGACCCGTCTTTCTCATGTCAGGCCCCTGCCCTGCCCACCCGTGCGGCAGGGAGGGGGGGGCGATGGCTGCACCTTGCCTGAGGACCAGAGGCTACCCGCTCGACCTCGAGGAGGAACAGGCGGAGGCAGGTCCTCCCCCCTCCCTCCCCTCCCCCTCCTCCTCCTCCTCCTCCTCCTCCTCCTCCTCCTCCTCCTCCTCCTCCTCCTCCTCCTCCTCCTCCTCCTCCTCCTCCTCCTCCTCCTCCTCCTCCTCCTCCCCCATCCCTCCCCACACCTCCTCCCCGCCCTCTTCGCTGGGGTGCCCGGTGGCCGCGCGCGGAGGCGGGGGCGCGCCTGCCACGCGACCTGCCGAGCGTCGGGGGAAGGACGGGGGGAGGGGGGGGGGGGGGGCAGGAGGAGGCCCACGATGAGGATCACTCAGCATCGAACCGAGCCCACGTCTTCGACGATATACGACTCTTGCAATCCCAGCGTTTTCCCTGGGTTTAGGCCACCGGCGATCGTTTCCAGGCTTCGGCCATGGACGATCTCCTGGCAGGCGGTGGATCCCCTGGGAGCTCGAAGTTGCTGGTTCTCAAGAATTGAAGACTGCCACTTGCAACGCGCGCGGGCTCTGTTGTTGGCATCGCAGGCACCAGGGTCAGAAGTTCGCAGAGCTGAGGCGTTTGCTCTTATCCCGAAATGCCATCGCGCTTGAAGAGGTTCACGGCACGAATTTGACACTTACCTCTATCCTCAACCAGTTCAACATTCACTACCAACTCTTTTACTCTGGCTTCCCAGAAAACCCTGATACGAGCGAGGATGGTATTCGGTCACGAACTGGCGGCGTCGCCATCATCGTCCCTTGGTACGGGCCCGAGATGCAGCCTGGAGTGCATCCTGAGCTTGTTCCCTCTTTTAATCATACTGTCCTCGTCCGCGGGGACAATCATCATCTTGCAATTCGTAGCCCATCTACCGGGAAGGTTATTCGAATCATGAACGTTCCCAACTCTGACTTCGAGAGGGAAGCAAGGCGAGTCATTCGGAACCGGTGGAAGAAGAGCGCGGCGTGGTCTCAGGCGGACGAGCTCCCTCGACTCGCAGTATACATCGGCGACTTTAATCCAACGCCTGTGACTGCACGAACCAGTCCCTCCCCTTTGCTCCAAGGCGGCACGCCAGGCATTCTCAAGATGGACGTGCGTCTCAATCTGAACCTTTCTGGCGGGATCTTTTCAACCATGGCATGATTGAGATTGAAAGCCCGCTGCACCCATATTACACGAGATCCACAGAGACGCTGAACACGATTGACAGGATCTTCATCTCCCTCAGCTCCCACTTTATCACCGGCTGCGACGCCA